GCTGCTGCTAGTTTGGTTCTTCTGACTTAACCTAAGTGGTAGCACAGTTTTTGAGAACTGTTAATCATTAATAGTTCATGGCTTGAGCTTTCATAGTTGCCTGACATCATTATTGCAAAATCTCTTTAGCACAACCTCCTGCCAGCAGTCACATATTTCTTAAGCATCTGGATTGGCTGGATCCAATAGACTTCTTGGCCATGTTGTATGTATTCAGTACTTTCAATTCTATAGCTTAAAAAAGACTTCCCCAACTTGGTGCTCTCAAGAAGGGAATAATGGAAGTTGTATTCCTGATGCATCTAGATGGTATCAGGGTGGAAAAGTCCATCTTCAAAAAGTAAAATTATTACAGTCTATAATGCTGCTAATTTACTATTCCATTTTTCCATCAAAGCTCACTTTGAGTTTCTTTTAACCTTCTTGTTCAGTGCCTCCCGTAGCAACCCACTAGCCGTGACTACTAATGTCCTCCAAGAATAGCACCTAAAAAGTGTGTGGTACTTCAGGGAATTCAGCATAGTTCACCACACACAATCACTGCAAAGGCCAGTACTGCTATCCAGTAGAGTGTGCAAATCTTTGAAGTGGCACATAAATTCAATAAAGCTTCACTCGAATGCCTCTTTGAAGCAAAGCACCAAGTTAGGTACCACTCTCCTTCAAAATCTGGATCAAAATAGCTGCAAAAGGGCCTCTTGAATTGTACGTGCACAGTGCACTTTTCCCATTGGATCAAAAAGCCAGCCAGATCTGGTTGACTTGTTTCAACACTTCAAATGATGGTGTCAAAGCACCTTCATATTCTGAGTCAAGGAACTGCCTTGAATCCAATTACTGCAACAATCCAGATCAAAGTGAATGCTTTGAGGTAGGGCTGAGCCACTTCTGAAGGGCCTACTTTCTACATATTACAGGTGGAAGTTGGAGATTAAAAGAAAACACCTTACCTAATACATTCCCCAAAAATCAAGGCATTGTGGAGTTTTGGGTGCTGTCTGAGCTTGGTTGTTTACAAGGTTGTTTGCAAGCAAGCAACCAAGCTCAGAGAGCACCAAGGGCTCCACAGTTCAACCCTGAGCTACACATATTCTCTTCTATTAGAATCAAGGCATTATTAAGATTGAACTGGGGATTTATGGCACAACACATCTTGCTGAAGCTAAATCAGATTAAGTTTGGTTAGTGTCTGGATAGAAGACAATCTAGGAATCTCATATATAATATCTTGAGTTCTGTGCCAGAACTAAGGTGGGTTATAAATACATGCAATAAAATATTAAAAAATGCTATTTACACTACCTTAAATGTATTAACCAAGAACAGTAAAGACAGAGTTACTTTCAGTACCTATTCTTAAATCCATGCTGAGTAAGGAAAGATTCTTTTAAAGCAAATCCTCTTATCTCTTAATTTAACCTTTACCTGTTCATCTTATTTACAAGGTCATAATAACTCAAAATAAGATCAATTTAAAGCAATAATAAAATATCTTAAAAATACAATATTAGCTGAATCATAAATATACATCATTTCTAATCTTTAACACCAAATGTACCCTAGAAGTCATTTGAAAATCTTGCCACAGCTTGTGACAAAAGAAACATGGAAACAATAATAAAAGCCATGAACACTATTCAGAAATAGTTTTCAAATAATATCATAAAGATGTTTAGAAACCATAGCCATCATTCTGTAACCAACCCAGCCTGTTTATATCAAAAATATTTCCAAACTCTCATATTTTATAATACTTGCAAAACCTTGGCAAAGTTGGGCAGTTTTCCTCAAAGTAATTTCACAATTGCTAGTTATTATTGACAAATTGGCCTGTTCGTGTTTCTTTTAGAGGTAGTGTAATGAAGAGAGGATGTCATAGGAGACCTCTTCTTTTTTTGCTTAAAAAGATGTCCTGAGGGGAGAAGGATGGTTTAGCCTGGTGCTGGCATAGCATGTTAACCTTTTCCCATGTATCATTTCCCCATGTTAAACTTTCCCAGAGTTACTATAAACCATAAAGAGGGGAAGAAACAGTGCCAAACATATATCTGTCTTTTCCCCTTTGTGGCTACCTACAGAGGTAACAGAAACTTAGCCCACTTTCCCAGTACCATCCTCCATATTCCTGCTCCTAATTTCCTTTTTTATTTGGTTTGGCTCTTTGACTTCTTTTAAACACAAATTTTGGCCCCAGGGCTGCATGTAGACCCAGAAACCTAGGTATGGCCCCCACAGCCCCACCAAACTCCCTCCCAAATTGGCATGTTTAATAGGACAAAAGATGAAAATGATTAAATACCCAAGGCACACTTATATTAATTTTTTTAAAAAACATGTGAATGAAACCAAATTTAATTCTCCTCTTAGTCCTGTCCACTTATTTATCCTGGCTCCACCCATTTCTAAGCCACCTAGCCAATCCCAATTGGCCTTGAAAAAGCTAAGTAGGTGAATGCTTGGATGAGAACCACCAGGAATTGCTAGGATTATAGAATAAAAAGTTTAATCATCATCATTCTAGAAGGAGGCAATATGGCTCTCAAAAAAACTACATGAATGTATCCAGGTAGATGTCAGGATTCAAGCTTGACATAAGGAAATCTTTGCCTTTTTAAAAAACAACACCACCCATTTCTTTTAGTGCAGCCCCAGAGTGTCATTCAAATGGGCCTTCATCAAAAGGTTAAACGTTGTGGCATGGCCAATACTAGCACTAGGAGTTGTTAGAGTTTGAATGAGCTTATCAAGTTTAGACTGGATGTTGTTTAGGGAAACAAAGATGGCCACAACTGTGGAACCTGTAAGTAGACAAAGCTCTCCTAGAACCTTTGGGATAGTCTCAGGAGCGTGATTTTTGTGTGGTCTTTCCTTTCTATCCCCTCCAATATTTTATGGCTGATGGCTACTAGGACTATAACAAATCTTGTTGGGTGATATGAAGGTGGCAAGTGTTGTCTTCCCTGAACCTCCTTCAGAGAGGAAGTAGAGTCTTCCTTTCTCAACATAGCAAGCTTGTTCTTAAGTAAAGGGGTACTTACAACTCTGTAAGAATCATGGTGTAGTAGGAAAGAGACAATTTTTTTGTTGTTTCCATATCTTACTTTGTTGTTCCCCCTTTTTTTCTTTCTTTTTTTGCACTGTTGAATACCATCTGGACTATTTCTCAGTTGCTTCTTTCCTTTGGTGGTCATTTCCAAAATAATCTATTTTAATTCTTCCTTGGTTGGCTTCCTTCATAGTGATATCACTACCAAATCACCTGTAATGCCCTTTACCTTTGTTCCTTCTCATGTGGTCTTAGTTAAGAATGTCATATGGTATCACCTCCTTTAAAACAACATACTGGTCCGGCAGGAAGGGTATGTTATGAACCCCATCGCCCAAAGAATTCCGACTAGTGGGGTCCAGGAGGTGAGCCTGTTCTGTTATAGCTCCCGCCCTATGGAACATCTTGCCCCCCTAGGTGAGATTGGCCCCCACTTCGTTGGCTTTCCAAACTGGCTCTACCAACTTGCATGGGGACCTAATGGGGGTTTGCAGCACTGGGGGTGGTTAGTAGCTTAGTAGTTCTTTCTGCATTTTTAGTTTTAACTTTTTTAGTTTTAATTTTAACCTTTTGGAGTTTTTAACTTGTATATTTTTGCTAAGATTTTATAGTTTTTTTTACTTGTAATGCCGCCTAGAGTCACTTATCCAGTGAGATAGGCGGCATATATACATTTGACTAATAAGTAAATAAGTAAATAAAAACAGAAGGCAGTAGGAATTACAGCTGTGTATGTCCTGCAGTTTAGCTCTATGTAGTTATTATTCAGCCTGTACATCTTTACTTATTTTCAAAATACCTGTGCTACCTTTGGTTGATGACACACGCAAAAAGATCTCAGAGATATTTTCAGATGGAAATGCCATGAACTGAACCGTTGAATTCTGCCTGCAAATCACGTGTTAAGCCTAATAGACAGGGTACATATCTAAAATAAGCCTGTCAAAAATGCTCTTGACATTTACTTGTAAATCTCAAAGTGAAGAAGCTGCTGTACGACATATCCTACAGTATACATAACACGCAGACTTATAGTTCTCATCCGTGCTTATCTTTCCTGCTACTCCACTCAAGTGGCCTTTTGCTATCGCAATGGCCTTTTGCAGTAGGCCCAGGATGGCTATTTTGGGGATTAAGGTAGTGGAAAATTCTGTCTTCTCTACTGTAATCTAATGACATGTTAAATTTATTTGAAACCAGTTCTAGAACAGCCCTTCCCAGCCTATAATTCTCCAGGTGTTGCTGAGTAACAATCCCCAAAATCTTTCACTTTTGCTGTGCTGGCTGGAATTGATGGAGATGTGGCTGAACAATATCTGGAGATCCACCTTGAACCCAGTAGGTTGCCATAGAACTGAGAAATAAGTAACAGGCTTAAAATCTGGCAGGTTTGTCAGAAGTAAGGAAATTGGGTTATAGGATTCTGGTTGCACAGGATTGTAACTGGAAGAAGTCAGGATGAGAAGAAATAGGATCCCCAAAGTTGCTAACGTAAATAGAAGGGAAGGTAAATAGAAGTAGAAGGGAAGTTATTGGAAGCTTCTTGTTGGACAGTTTGGAATTAGTAAGGAAATCAGAATTGGGGACCACTAGAAGGGAGAGGGGGTCTGTCCCAAAGAACAAAGAGGGAACAAACAATATTCAGAAGAGTCAGGGAAGTTATAAAAAGCTGTGGAGCTGCAGATGCAGACACGGATATACACTCGTGGAGTGAGAAAAAAGAAGAGCACAAGATGCTTAGCCAGAAGACCAGTGGCTAGGAAACTGTTTCTGTGACAAAACAGGACTGAAATATCTTTCCCATTGTGAATGGGATTGCAGACTTAAAGAAATATGTTATGAAATAGTTCATAACTTTCATGTACTGAGTGTTTTCAAGAACACTTTGATGTCCTGCCTTTTTCATTTCAGATTTTGATGTTCAGACTGATTCTTGTTTACTTGTGCATTGCAGGATTCATTTCTCTCTGCTCACCCCCAGCATTATCTTGTTAGCAACATCACTGCAGACTGCCGAACAATTCCCAATGCTGCAAAAATGATCGAAAACACATCATCTCCCGGAAGGCTAATTATAAGAAACATCGCATGTTTTGATAATGGCTTCTGCTACTCAGAAAGTAGAAAGTGAAATCTTGAATTGGGATACCAAACATATGTATAAAGGTGCATTTTTTCCCCATAAATATGCTGAACCTGAACCCCAAGGATGGTAGAACATGAAGAGAACTAGCCATCTTGGGGGTTGATTTGATATCGAGTAGGGTGTACAAAATAAGTAAAATAGTGGTTGAATTGCTTCCTTGGAGGAAAGAGGTACACATCCCTTGAAAAAGCTCTCAGGATCCTTTCAAAAATTGCTCATAAATTCTAATTTTTAACATAATTATATTAAACGCAAATTTGGGGACCCTAGTAATGGGCTTTACAGTTAATGCACTGTAATGTTAATTCGCTAAGCATTAAATAAATCAAGTTTAGCTTTTGTTCTGGTCCTACTTGGTGACTCCAAATATGTTGTATGTTCCTGAGAAACACAACAATTGAAAATTTAAACTTATTATCTGATATATTGAGAACAGAGTGATGAGGCACGTTTTGGACCCTCAGGCCAGGGAATGCCTATTTCTGTCCTTTTTTTTTTTTTGCTTTGTAAAACATCGGAATGTGGGCAATGTTACCCTTGCACATTTTTGTTCCTGAAGTAAAAGAAGGACTTTTTCATCCTCTCTTTCAGCCAAAGCCTCATTTGATTTGATTATTTGCTTTTGACCGCACAAAGGGCTGGACATTGTCAGCCAGAAATGGTAATCTAAAATTGTTATCTAAAATTATTATCTAAAGTTATTGTTTCCTTTTTTTCTCCTGGTCAGCTGGTCCAAAGTGGATAAAATGTTTTGGATAAAATATTATTCAATCCAGTTACAGTAGGAAATAAATATTACTGGATAATAAAAATAAAAGCCCTTCCCTTTCTCATGATTTGTTATTGCCCATTGAATAAAAGAGATACTTATATTTGGGAATAAGAGGTAGGTCCTTCTGAACTTCTTAATACGCAAATGAAACCCTGGTAGAAGTTACCTGTCTGTCTGGATCGTTGCTGCAGGAAATGCCCTTTTAGAGAATTTTGTTGGTAATTAAATAGAAGTTATTTTTGATAGTGATAATTAAATTTAGGAATATGACTTAATTTTCTTTGTCATTTCTATCATGATATTTTGAACAATAATCTTTTTCAACCATAAATTGCATATAAAATATGACATATCAGAAAAACGAACTGTGGAAAGAATGTATGGAGCCCATGAATAAAACGGTCTTTTAAAACAGCTTTAGTCCCTTGTAAGTGGAATGTAGTCACAATTAATTCATTCAGTGAGTTTCTTTAAATTCCAGACTTTATAAAATTCTTCTAATTTCATGATCTGTCTGGATGGGAGCAACACAGCATCAGTTTGTCTGTGTAAGTCACAGAATAAATCATCCTGAATTTCTACATATGCACAGCTCTCTCTCTATCTCTTAACAGTGGGTTATAATTAATGGAACTGCCCTTGGAACTATGGATTCATGCACATATGCATATTTTGAACATTATGTGCAATAAGAAAGCAATGTCCTTTGGAAATAAAAAAATAAAAGGTCCAAGCCTATGTAGGTCAGAAGACATCTCTCCCTCCTCATCATATTCTGAAAAAAAAAAAGTAGTTTAAATTAGCAAAGGTTGGGGAATAATCATCTTGCAAACCTCAGACTTACTAGGTTAAAGTAAAACTCACTAGTAGTTTTTCCAAAACTTTGTTGGTTGTAGTAGAACATGCAGTACAGAATGTTTAGCTTAGAGTTTCTAGCTTGCCAAATCGAAGGCCATGGAAATGATGTTTGTGGTGGCATGCTGGAACATGAAGTGTGTCATTTCAGTCTCCCACATGGAGGCACAACCCAAAGAGAAGACAAGCACATCTCTCTCTCTCGTTCTGTATTTCTCCCCTCGCCCCTTGCATCTTTTCTTGCAGCTCCCAGAAAACATAAATCTGTGGGCTTTTTTCTAACGGTATCATGAAGTTGGGAAAAAATCTCCACATCAGGCAGACTTGGAGCTTTTCAGAGCTTAGCAGCAGGATAAAATTTAAAAGACATTTCTTGGCACAAATAAAAAGGGAGAGATGCACCTTTTGAATTATCTCCCTCTTGCACAGTTGAGAATGTTGTAGAACCTCTGTGAGAAAAGAAAGAGAACAGTTTCAAAGTCTGTTTGATCAGACCAAAGCTTCGTGATATTCAACGTACTGTTTCCCATAATGCCCCTTTCTTGATGGCGCTTTAAATGATGAAGACAAATGATAGATCAGTTTAATAATTATTTGATATAATTTATCTTATTTACATAGGCATATAGTACCCAAACTTTACTTTGAAAGCTGATGGCAGCTAATATGCCCCCCCGCCCCCGCCGCAAATATTTCTACAGCAAACCAGTGAAGGTGGATTAGAAGAAAATGGCTGGCCCGAAGTCCCCTGATGAGCTCTGTGTTTGAATGAAAACTCGATCTTGGGTGTCCATGATCCAAGTCCAACTAAGCAATACTATGCCCTATACCGACTCTCTTTGAAAACCATCCAGCAGTTCCTTCTTATCTACTCTGATGTAAGCATCACTTTTGGGAAAGTGTATACAAAGTAATTTTTTTTTTCCTAACAGTTCCCTCCAGATGGGTTGGATTACAATGATCATGTTGGCTGATAATTTTGGGAGTTGTATCATTATTGCTCCTACCATATTTGGAGGACAAAAGTTTGGGGAAGTAGAAAAAAAGAGGTCACAAAAAGGTCTCAGCCTCACCCAAATGTGCAAAAATTCATTAGGTAATGCCAGCAGAACATTAATTCCAAATCATAGCTATTATGAGCAGTAGACTTCTTTCTTTTAAAAAGTAAAGGTGGGTTTTCCAGCTGGTGAATTTTGCATTTGGAATTCTGTTCAAAACAGTCTTGATCATGAATATCTTACTCTCAGAGTTGAATCATTGCTTTGTGGTTGAAGAATTGTCATGGGAAGCTCTTCCTTACTAAAAAATGACTTTACTCCAGTGCAGCATAAATCAGCTAATAGCAAGGAATGAGACTGCTCACGTACAAAGGTATTCTCTAAACTATTTGTGGATTGCTTTTAAGCTCCTGGTCTGGAAGTAGTAGAGCAGTTAACAAAGTCATCCAGTAACGAAAGTACAATTAAACTTCTGCTCTGTTATGGGCCAGGTTTATAGCCAGACATATCTCTTCTCAAGTTGCTTTGTTTCATTTCTCTTTCATATTGATTTTCTATGTTTCCCACCTCTAAAAGTTATCCAGGACTGGAGCTGGGAGAGGAGCTGGGGAAGATGTTCCTCCTCTTTAAAGTTTCTCTCTAATGTTTTAGTGTTGTTCTGTAATCTTCAGGGGTTTCCCAAATCTGCTGATAGCTTACTTATATATGTGATGATAGCATATTGGCTACAGAATGGTACAGGTTTAGAGAGAAATCACCATTAACTAACTTTTTAATCAAAAGACCTGGTTCACATATTGTGCTAAGTCAGTGATGGTGAACCTATGACACACGTGTCAAAGGTGACATGCCCCAACGTTTTTCTTGCCAGAGTTCACCCACACCCAACAATTATGCTCCCTATTTGAGTTACCAAAGAAACTGAGTTTGTTTTACTCATATTTCATTTTTGTAATTATTTGATGTTTCTGTGTATAATATGTATCATCACACATGATTGGACTGTATTTTTTTAAATAAATGAATATGTAAAGAATTGCTTCTCTTTTC